TTTTTTTTTCTATTTGTGATTCACTGTACTCACAGAGCTTTGAGGTTTTCGACGCCTTTAAAAATTTTGTCAGGCAAAGTCTCGAGTTTGTTCTCCGAGAGATATCTTAAACAGGCGAAAGGAATAAAAGATAAATAATATAATACTGTAGCATAATATGATTGCAATTGGGTGTGGCACATTACATTTAATCGATGGCAGAGTTAACATTACAATAATCTTGTAATTTTGCTGTTATCAACTGAGTTGATAAATGTAAAATGGCCTCCGTAAAGAATTTTAAAAGCTAACGTTTTGAGCGTTAGCCCCTCGTCAGAGCTGTGGATGGTTTGCGAATCCACTCATCTTGGGAAAAGGTTTCAATTCTGAGTGTACTTACAATTCGAACAACTTTACCAAGCCCTGGAACTGATCTTCATGAAGCCTCTCAATTTTATTGTAGTCTAATTTCCTGAAGAAAGCACCATGGAAAGTTTAGAATACATAATTATGCAGAAGTAGCTGTGGAGTGATATCTTTAACACTTTTTTTTCTTTTTTTAGGCTACTACCGTAGTTCAGGTAAGGCAGTGACAATGCTTTCTCCAATAAAATAGCTCTCAGTTTTCATTTCTTACTCTTCAAAGAAAAACATCAGACATGAGAATAATACTTTCAAGGTTAAGCACGAAAAATCCCAAGTCTATACCCAAGCGCCTTCATAAGGTCTATTGTTTAAAGCTGAATTTGAAAAATGATTTATGATCCATTTCCTGTTACAAATTACGAACTTATTGGGTAGTTTGATCCTCCAATACAATAATATTATATATAATATTTTAAAGGAAACTAATGTTTGCCTTCTAAAAGTACATTATAATTAGAGTTGTCATAATCTAGGAAGCTGTTGTATTTACACCTTGTAAAATTTTCAATATTTCTTTAATGTCCATAAGAGTCTTACTCACAGAAATTCTACCGCTGTAATGTTTCTGAAGATGTGCGGTGGCAGATTTCCAAGTTCGTTGTTTGACAAATCCCTACAAGAGATCACCACAGTAACAAGGAATTTGCTAACGATAGAATTACCATGTAAACTGATTCATAGAATAATAATTATTGGCAGTTTGTGCTGAAAAATTTTCACAAAGTGTCTTATTACTTGTGTAGTGGTCTCCCCTTTTCAGTTTATTTCCCCCAAATCTTTAGCACATATTCCCAGGAAGAAGTCTTATGTCTTCAAATCCAGCTCAAGAAGACCCTAGCATATTAAACTTGCTAAGAACACAATAATGAAGAACAACTAGAACATGAGAACATTTGTCAACATTTTTGGAGAGAAAAATATATGAAATATGTTTCCCTGCTAAAAAATGAAAAGAGTAGCCAATTCTTTTTTGAGGGGGGGGGGGAGAAACTCCTCACAGCAGTGAAATATTAAAACAAAAACAAAAACAAAAACAAAAACAAAAACAAAAGCAAAAAAATAGGTACAAAAAAATAGCAACCTCACCTGTAGAAGAAAGATAATAACCAAATGCAAGCTATTTCCTTAGTCACAACTACCATTATTTTCATCATCATTACCATTATTATCATTACAATTATTATTTTTATTACTTTTATTACTATTGTATTACTATTTCATCATCATTACTATAATTGTTACCATTGATATTATTACAAGCAAATATATAAAATAATTACCTAGTAATTATTTTATTCTATTAATTGTAAGTGTCCCCTATTAGTAGAGGGCTTGCCTCTCGGCTAGCTTATTTTCCTGGCACTTAAATAAAGTATCTACCTACCTACCTACCTACCTACCTACCTATCTATCTATCTCATAGCAATATTATCTGGCTGGTGCAACTGTAGGTTAATGGTTAATCATATGTTAAGAGCTTGTACTTCATCCAGTAGAAAGAAATCTAGGAGTTTTTGAAGCTGCTATTAAACAGAAGCTTTTAAACTTTTAAACCTCCAAGTACCTCAGCATTACTTAACAAACCACATCAGCTGCATAAAGTAGCATTCTGTTATTCATATACATGATCAGATTTACAAAGTCAAGCTGGAAAACTCCATGATGTTTGAACTGTTACAGCTGTGCCTTTGTAAACAATATGATAAAAATGATCATTTGGTTATACCCAATTATCTTCTTTGTTAAATAACCATTTCACTCACAGATGTATCAGCTTGGAAAGGCTACTAAAAAGTTGGTGTGGTAGAATCTTCAACTTGTTATTTGACAGATAGCTGGTAGGAATGATGAGACAAAAATGCCTTTTCATTAAAACTGTAGCTCATACTTCATAAGAAAAAATACAAACAGAGGCTAGTCATCAAAAATTATAAAAAAGTGAATTTTAGTCAAATCTAAGCAATATACTTATTTTAGAGAAATGAATGTTTAATCGTTTGTCTCAAAATATTTGTCAAATGATGTAACATCCGTTTATCTATAAAACCGGGATGAATAGCACCACTTTGTTTATTGCCTATCATGGTTACTGTCGAGCAGATACATATTGCCCATCCATTTTGGTAAGGGCAGTATTTCTAGCAGAAGGAGAAACTCGTAGCTGACAATTTTACATTTGCTAGCACGTCAAACTCTCTTCTCTCGTGTTGGGAGAGGTAGGCTGGTTCCCCTTTCATTTAAAATCATTCCTAGGGTAGAAACAATTAGAGAAATGATCGAGCCCTTGATCTCAGAAGATATCAAAATAGGTAAAATAAGGTAAAAATATCCCATAGTGACTGGAAAATTTATGGCACGCATGATTTCATTCTTGAAAGACTGCAGATCTTACACTGATCATTAGAAAAACAAAGATCGACATTTGAGATAGTTAAATTGGTAGGTTATGTTTTTGGTGCGTATGGGAATATAATTAGTTATGAAATATTACAAGTGGCTGATATTTCTTTCAGCCTTTAATAAATGTTTGGAATAGTAACAAAGAGTTGAGCAGTCAGTAAGCTAATTTCTGAGGAAAGGATATGCAAAAAAACTCACAGTTCCTGCAGGTTTTCTAGATCTTGAAATAGTTCAGGAGGTAATTCCGTGATGTTGTTGCCTTGCAACCATCTATGTTGAAGTAGAGAAACATGATTAGTTGTATCAAATCCAGCTATCTCTATCAAAGTAGCTTCTAACTGACCTGTCTTTTGTCATTGAAGGGAAAGAGAAATTAAAAGAAAATGAAAAAAAAAGCATGGGAAAAATCAAAGACAAACAGGTGTTTTGGAAATGGAATGCTCCTACTTTATAAAACATTTTTTCTAATACTGAGCTGCAACATTCAATTCACAACTTAACAAATAACCACATTATGCAAAACAATACTGTAATTGCGTCTTTTTCCACATTTTTCGTAAAGTTGAAATTATAATTTATTTTCTCTGTATTAAGAATTTTTGTATGAAAAATGTGATTATCTCCTTTGGTTGGTCTGTTTTCATTGCACTTCACAGCACAAGTCATAATGCAAATCTTGAAACACTTTGATCTAGCAAAGGAAAATGATAAACTGTTACGATGTAAAGTTCTGTTTTGAGGTCAAGGAATTTCTTCTCGAATAGTATCTGATATTTACTCACAGTTCTTCTAACTCTTCCATGTGTTTGAAGGTGTTTCCATTAATTCCTTTCAGGTCGTTGTCATTCAGGCGTCTGCGTTATTTACCACAAAAAAACGATTCTTAGTTCGTCTGTCTGGCTAGAGCAATTACTGTTGGTGTTATCAATCATTGATGTTTTGACAATTAAGCAAAAGTGACATCTGTGACATCGAGTGAGGAGTTGCTCACACCAACTTTACCCAAAAAAGATATGCTTGGTTTAGTAATGAAACTACCTTAATAATGAAAAATATAAGGCAAATCTTTTTAGAAAGACGCCTGGTCATGACTGTTCTATAGTGAATGAATCACATAAAAAGTAAGTCATGGCAAAATGTCCGATATCTAAGGCTTTTAGAGCTCAGTGTTGTGCATCAAGGAAGGCACATCTTCGCTGCTCTATCAGAAATATAGGACGATATATTATCTGTCACGGAATCTGTAAATTCCTGTTCTTCTGTACAGTAGGAATTGATCAACAGATGATAAATAGCCTGAAATCTGAGTTTTTAATCCACAGGTGTGAGAGTTGGCCCCTGGTATCAGTTGTACATGATTTGGTTCTTTACTCTGGAGGGCTGACTGTCTACCATAATTATTCACTTTTTCCAAGGCTGAGGAGAGAAAATATGCCTCTGACATCCTTATAAGGTAAATGGCTATACCAAAACATTTCTCCGTATCTGCCAGAAACCATAATTGCAGATAGGAACAATCTTGATGGGAACGAACCAGCAACTGGTTTCGTTGTTATTCCTTACATCTAGGGTGTTATGGAACCCGTCAAGAGAATTTTGAACATATAGCCACAACGTTTAAGTTGCTCAAAAACCTTTTCAGAGTATAGAGCATATTTTTGCCAAAGCTAAGGATCTTGTCACGAAAGAACAACAAACCGACGCTATTTATACTATCCCGTGCAATGACTGTGATTAAGAGTATATCGGACAGACCAAACGTTAGTCTGGCAATCGGTTGAAAGAGCATCAAAAATTGGTCTCCTTCTGCAGAATAGAAAATTCAGCTTTAACGGAGCACACATGCCTGACTAATCATACAATTAGATAGGATAATTTTAAAATGATCACCACTAATCGACCACCAGTGCCCTTGTTTGGAAGCTTGGCATATCAACTCGCCTACGTTACTTAACAATTATTCCATGAGCGCGCTTTGGATATGAGATAATAGATAGCCAACGAGGCGCGTAGCGCCGAGTTGGCTATAATCATCTCATATCCAACAAGCGCGAGTGGAATAATTGTTTTATTAAAAACGCCCCCAAGAAATTATTATTTTGTCAGAGGAAACCGGAATTTTTAGCTCCCTTTTGATTTTAAGCTGACGCGTACGCCGCTTACCATATTTGTAGATTATGGTATATTGGCTCATATACCATAATGGCTAAGCCAATGAAAAGTCTTGAATTGCATTATCCAATGATCCAGTTTTTAATAATATATTATATACTATAGATACTATTATAACCGGAAATCCTATTATACAAGATGGCTACCAAAGTGGCCGCGAACATGCGCTAAGCGCAGAAATGCGGAATAAATATGGCTGCGAAGCATAAAGGAAATAATGGGAAAATAAAAATATTTTGCATTTTGTGCCGTTACTGCTAGAAACTCAACGTTCCCCACCATCAAAATCGATAGAGTCAAGTTCGAACCGCATTACAATCGAAAGAAAAGTGAAAAAAAAAAATGGTTTTAGACGGTACGTTTTCATTCCGATAACCTCATATAAAAGTCACACTCCCTCTTTCTTTTATTCCTTAGAATAGGGCTTACCTTCAAGGTTTCTTTGGTCTGCTACGAGTAAACGGTTGCATTGATTCGGTTCCCCATCATCATACCCGAAAGATAACGAGTTTAACTCACAAAGCAAACGTTTTCTCGCCCCAAAAACATCCCAAGCTCATGGTGCCTTTTCCCAATTTGTAAATTGGCATTTTCCAGAAATGCGAGATGCTAGGAAATGAAGCCATTATTTCGGCAAAAATGCTCCTTCGAGCGGTTCGTTTCCTTTTTAATTCGACCGCCATTTTGTTTTTTAACACATTTTAATTAACATACATGAAGCACCTAAAGATAAAAAAAAGCCGCCGTATAAAATAATCGGTTAAAAGTCGCAAACGGGAATTTGAGGGAAACTATAGCTGACTGACAGGGCTGAATCATGAAATGCTACGTCAATGGGTATGCGGTCATCAACACGGGCTCGAGAGTTCTAGGTCAAAATTTAGCAAAATTATCGGAAATAATAAAAACCGAGAAACTTTGTTTGCGTCTAAGGGTATTTTCCTATTTCCACTAGTTCATCAGTTAAATTACTGTCATATGTTACCCTCCTTAAGTATAAATAAAGTTATTATTATTACTGTATTATTATTATTACTCAAAAATCCGTCTTTCGCGGCAAAAACTAGCGCATGCGCATACGTTATTTAGCTCTGTCACGATAGCGGATATTAAGTGCCGTGTCTGATGTTCCCCTCAGAACTTCCCTTCTACTTTGGAATTTTTTTTTTTATGGAGACATCATCGAAAGTAAGGGCCTTTCCTTATTTTCCATCTATTCTCCATGAAATCTGCAAAACTTAGAGCATTTAAGCTGCGGTAATAGCCCTTCGAATGATTTTTCCTTCCGTCCGCCACATTGAATATCGAAATTTACGCGCCTGCCGTTCAAGCCGTTGACTGTCTACGATTTCTGATTATGTTTAAATCGTGATGACGGCGGCCTACTATCTGAAGCCTATTTACACTTCGTCAGAAAAAAGGGCAGCTAATTAGTGGGAATATAAAAGGACCTCTTATTGCAACGATCAGGTCATCACTGAAGAAGGCACTAGACAGGAGTGTCGAAACGTTGGGTCTATGAATGATAATTTCCTGGTTGCATTCCTTAAATCCTTAAATCCAGAGTAGCATCAAACCATGTCTGATTTTGGTTCTTTTGGAGCACATTATGAGATGAAATGAGCAGGATTTTTTTTCCATTGTTGAAACTTGATCTCGTGATATCTTTATGTACAGAAGTAAAACACTCACTTGTCGGTAGTCTTGAGTATGAAGATCGTGGAGACGAAAAAAAGTTACTTACAAAAATCGCAACTTTGTGTTGCTGTCAAAGATTCCCTGGGGCAGGTTGTGCAATTGCATTTCAGACAAGTGCCTATGGATATTGTACACTTAGATAAGTGTTCTATAGCGTATAACACAGCAGCAATACATTAACAAATCACTTATTAGTTTGTTAAGTAGACCAAAACTTGTCTTGAATTTGTTGTTGACATTTTGGTTACCGTAGAAACTTCACTTAACAATTTTAATTCTACTCATTAATTTATACCCAGACAGAGTAGTACCCAGTTTTATAACTGAATTATCGTCAGCAAGTCGATATTTATGTTTTTTCCTAATTTATACATGTGATTTAGCGCCCTTTGAATTATCAAAAACTTTTGTTGGCTCTGAATTTTACAGGATATCCCAAGTTGTGTTTTGACATGCTAATTGCACAGGGGGGCACCAAGAAGTCTAGATGCATATGGTTTGTTTTTGGTACTTGTGGGGAATAATAGAAAACTTGCGAGTGCAAAATTGCTCCCGCATTACTTTGGTTCTTTTAGTTAGTTCTTTTAATTTTTAAAATATGACTGGTAATCAGTGGCAGATCCATACCT